AATAGTATTTTCTAAGATTTTGCCACTCTACTTTATCCTATTGCAATTTTTAATTAATTTTAATGGCCACTATTTTTAATATCATTAAGGTTGAATTGATTCTTGGTCTGCTAAAATTTCTCATAATTTTGAATATATTATTTATTAATTTCAGATAAAATATCAAAACTAATGAGAAAAATGATCAAGAAATATTATTTAGTTTCATATATGAATTTAAAATCCAGAATAGAAAAATAATTATATCCAAAGTACTCAAAAATATAAGTATATTTTTGGGCTTTTTAGGACCATCATTTATGAATTAATCATGAATGATGTTTTTATTGAAGTTTTATTTAAATCAAAAGCTTAAAAAAAAATACTAAATTTTGTTATCATAAAAAACAATTTATATTTTTAAAGATTTTCAAAATATATAATAGACTCTGCTAAATGAGCTTATCTAGTTTTAAAAAAAAATTTTTTTCTAATATTATTAAAAATAATTTTTTTTTTCAATTAATTAGATTAAATAAATTTGTAATCTATTATTATTGATACCAAATAAAAACTAAATTTATAAACCATTAATTTCATGTTTATTTCAGCAAACAAATGCTAAATTAAATTATTTTATAAACAAGAAAAATTCTCATCATAAATAATCTGATGAAATTAGTAATTTCAATATGAATATATTTATGATTATATATAAAAAATCCGAATTTTAGAGGAAAAGTTTTGGTCACAATGTGTTTCTAATTTTGATATAGATTTTAAGTAACAATTATAAAAGATCAATGGACTCCTTATTTACAATAAAATTTCAACATTTTATATCTAAATCAAAGGTTTATTTAGGATTAAAGAAAAATCTGAAAATTGATTTTCAAAAAAAAGATATTAATCAAGTTTGTAAAATTTCAGATAGATCGATAGGTAAAGTATTTATGGTAAATAGATTTCAACATAGATAAACAATGCATTTATTTTATAGGCATCATTGATATTCTTACTCTATTAAGTTTATCTATAATATTTATTGATTTAAATATTTAGAAAATAGTTTAAAATTATGCATACATTGAGCTTATATTTTAACTAATAATAATAATTGTCAATTTTCAAAATTATGCATTTCTAATTGTTATTTTATATTTGATTTTGAAAGTACTTGATCATTAGTTGTTGCAGCATAAACATCATAAGCTATTCCCTTAAATATATCCTATTTTACTTTAAATTCTTTATATGCTTAAAATGTGAAGTAAACTGAAACAATGTAAAATGTTAAAGAGATTGCTTAGAGCAAAAACTAGTTTCTACCATCATTTGATAATGATTAAAGGTTGACTTTATTTTAGATATCGGTCATAAAATTAACCACAATCAGAAAAGTATTCATTAGACAAAAAAATATGTAAATCACACAATTGCAATAATTTAATTAAGCTTAAGCACACCTATTTATGAATATTAAGAATACCATAGTATAAAAGCTGATGTGAATTCTGCTACACCTGCCCATAAATCATAATAGAGTTTTCCTAAAGCTAAGCATATTTGTAAGAAAATTATAAAGAAAATTATTCTCCTTAACACCTTTGCTTTCTCTGTTGTAGGTGGAACAATATCACCAATACACAATATCATTTTTATAAAAATAATAAATTATTATTAACAAATAAATAAAAATTAGTCTTAATAAACTATTCAATAGATAATCTTGAGTGTTACTATCGTTTTATATTGAACTTATTTAAAATAGTATTCAATAATGGTTAAATAATAATCTCAAATGTAGTGATTAACATATGAATCGTTTGATAAATAACTTTTCTAAATTTTTTATTGTTCCTATAATTTTTGATTTCTTAATTTTTGTTATATTACATTTTATTTGACACGTTCTGAGATACAATATTCTTATGCTATATCATTTCTATGTTTTAATTATTAACAATTCCTGACAATATTTGAACTAATAGGTCTTTAATTTAAAGTTCTTTTGATATTTCCAAGACCCTTCTCAATTTATTAATTAATTATTTTAGGATCTACAGTGTTTTATTCAATAATTTAATTTTTATTAATATAAACTTAACTTTTTTAAATAGCATTGTCTATTAACCAGTTAAAAGAATTCATTGTGAAATTCATTTTGCCTCCAAATGGTTTATTAAGTAATTCTTGTAATTCCTTTTTTTTATTAAGAGCCCAAACAATAGGAGTTCTCTTTCCCTTACTACCTTCAACCATCATTAATCCTAAAAGTCGATTTGCAGCTTTCATTGTTAAAAATTTGCTAGTTCCATTTTCTTCTTCATTTTAAGTAAGTTCGATATCTTCTAGCTAGTATAGATAATAAATAAATTTACTACATTTTAATATATATCTTTAGGAGGTGGAGAAATGGCAATTTTAGTATGTTATGATTTACTAACAGGAACATTAAGAACTTAAGATGATAATCGATTAAATTCAATAAGTAGTTTTTCCTTTTCAAAACTTTTTATTTTTGGATCATTATTGTAGAATTCATAAAAAGCATCAAAAGATTTATTATATGGGTCTTAATATTGAAAAGTAAATACTTTCTTCATGTTATCTATCCTTGATAAACAATCTTATCTTTCTTTCAATATAATATTATAACTTCTTTCCAATTTCAATTTACTTGATTTAATTCAGTTTTCCTTTAAGTTCTAATCTTTCTTACATTTTTCTTTCAATATTTTTTTATTTTAATTTCTCTGAAACATAAATGAATTCTTTAATTGATCTAATTTCATTGATATGTGAATAATATCGTAAAGGTTACTATTATTAATTATTCATAATTTGATGCATACTCTTATGCTTTTAGAGATAAACATCTTTAGACATAAAGGCTTCTTATTCTTAAAGTCTTTTGATGTAAACTTATTCTAAATTTTTTTATTACGAAACTTAGGAAGGTATTTTTTATGCTGACTTAGTTTATCTAATAAGTTTAGAATTCATTGTTAAAATTAATATGTTATTAAAGAACAAATACACATTTTGGGTTTCAACACAAAGAACACAAACTAAGATTGACAAAGATAATTATAATGATAATCTATATAAAGTGTGTATGATTTTTGAATGATTTAAATATAGGTAATTTTGAGACAGCAGAATAATTTTGGATGTATTATTAATGGATAGCTAAGCCATCAACAATACCAGAAGGATGCTAAATATTATTATTTTAAGAAGAAATCTAACCAATGTGGGAAGACAAAGCTAATTAAAATGGAGGAAGATTTGTATTCAGATGCAAAAATAATGTTGATCGAGTTTGGGAAAACATAATTTTAAGTTACATAGGGAATTAATGTACTTACAATGAATTCATTTGTGGTGTTGTTGTGAACCAAAAAAGATCATTTACATAAGTTTCCATTTGGGTTAAAGATATGACTTCTTTTTAAATGTAAGATGATAAAATAACATAATGGGTTAAAGAGATGTTTGGAATAAATGAATTAGAATTTGTATAGCATCCAAAGAGTTGAAATTATTTATTAATATAAAATGAATTCTATCCGTAAAAGTTACACTAGCAATATTAGTAGAAGAGAGTCTTTAGAAACTATGCCAACAGTGTTCAATGCAGATTTGCTGAATTTATAATTTGTGAATAAGAAAAAAGAGGTAGACATCTATATATATATATAATTAGGTTATAAATGAGTATGTTGTTAAAAGAAAGGCGGAATTATTAGAAGAAATGAAATAAGAAGAAATTCATTAAGAATATGATAATAAAACAGAAATTTAAAATTTAAAAGCATTAATGGCTAGCATTAGATATTAAAATGATCTCATGAAGTTAAATTTAAAATCATACGAGTAAATTGATTTTCAATAAAATAAATTCATGACAATCCCTAAAAATGATTTGGAAAATGTTAATAATTAAATAGATTCTGAATAAGAATAGAATTAAGCATTATAGCAACAAATTCAATTAATAGGTCGTTCATTAAGAAAAAATTAAAAATACAATAATTCACTTATAGAATAGTTATAATTGTATACGAAGAAATAACCTTAAATTTATTTAAAAGAGTTCTAAAATTAGCAAGCATTTGATGCAGCAAAAAAGTAAAATAAAAAAATAAAAAATGCTTTATAAGAAGAAAAAGAATGGTAATACAAATATCTGTTTGAAAATACAGCAAGTTATGAACATAAAAACTAAATAGTTAAGTAATTAATTATTAAATAAATTTTAGAGAGAGTTTAGAAAGTTTATGTTAATAAGAAGAAAGATTAAAATATCTATAAGAATAATTGATTGTAACAGAATAATAGATTCAAGATATTGATTTAGAAATATCAACTAAATTTAACAAAATTGAGGAATGTGCAGAGTTTTTAGATGAATTAGATGATTTTGACAAAATTATTCTGATATTTGTAATGGAGGATCCAAAAGACTTTGAATTACCTGAAATATTGGAAAATGCAAGATTTCAGTTATAGAGACCAAAAAATAGAATGTAAATTGCTGATAGTGAATAAGAATATATTGATAGAGCTAGATTTAGCAGTGTTAGTTCTAGAATGAAGATATTTTTAAAATTTCACAATAATAATTTATAGAAATCTATTGATGATTTAATTTAAGTATATCGTAAATTATAATTTAATGAAATGACTTTAAAAAATAGGTATGAAGATTTATTAGATTAAAAAGCAAAATTAAAATAAACTTTAGAAGATTTAAATTCCTTAGAATTTTATGAAATGGATGATATTTAATTTGAGAGAGATGATTAACATATGAATATAGAAGAATTGAATGTAGAAGCAGCATTAGTGTCTAAAAATTAATAAATTAGATTAGTTGAAAATAATGCTTAATTCGTATTGAGAATGTACAGTATGTTGACAAATGTATTATTTAGAATGATAAATTCTCTTTTAAATATAAAAGAAGTATTAAAAACATGTCCTTCTGAATTATTTGATTAAGAGTATGAATTAATTAATTTTTAGCTTTTATTTAAAATGGACATATAATAAATTATATTCAAAACTAAGTACAATTCATGATTAATTGGAAAATCAATTTAAGATTAAAATAGTGGTTAAAGATCCTGTAATTCGTAATTCAAATTAATTATTAAATGCAATATATGATCATCTTGAAGATCGTCCGGCTAAAAGAAAAACATTACTACCAATAGTTCAAAAATAAGGTGTTTAAGAAATTTTAGGTTCTCTATTAGATAAGGATGAATTGAAATAAGTTTCTGATACAATTAGTTAAGATTCTATTTTAGCTTAATTCTTTTCTTTTAATGATTTGCAAAATATTATTACTTAAATTGAGAATTTCAATATTGATGGTTTATTAAAGAAAATAAAAACAGATGGATATGAAACAGCATTAACAACTGCAAGAAGATAATTAAAATTTTTGTTAAATTTCATAGAAGAGGCAATCTTTGATTGTAAGAATATTTAAGAATAATAAAATTAAGCTAAGCTGTTACAATAAAAATATAAATTATAAGATTTGATGGAAAAGCACATGAATAGTTATGAATTCAAACCAAAAGAATGGAAAAAGGATGTAATTGAAAGTAAAATAAAATAATTAATGCCTTTAAATGGTTAACCTTTTGAAGAATAACCATCTCCTATAAATGAATAGAAAACATAATAATAATTAACAACTTAACATCCAACACCAAAAATACAAACTGTAAGATCTTGTAAAACAGAATAATCTCCTAATTAAATTAAAAGATTTATATTTACAATAGATTCTTAAATACCAAATTGTTCTTAATCATAAGCTAATCAATTATAATCTGATCCTATTTTTATTCATTTACATCATATGAATAGAAAGATAAAGACTATGAATAGATCTTCAACCCAATAAAAACCTAATCCTCCACATTAATTTGATGTTCTTTTCAGTAAAAAGAGTGTAGAATTATCTCGAGATTCTATAACTAATTTACAATTAAAATCAACACCTATTTAATAAAATAAAGTTATTTTAAGAACAAGTTCAAAATGTCCCAAATTATTAAATAATACAAATAATAGCACTAATTTAATTTCAACAAGATCTAAATGTAATACCAAGATTTCAAATGATTAAAAATTTGAGTTACCTTAATCTGTGAGTAAATGTCAATTATCATCAACTTATGGAATTGCTAATAAAAAATTATAAGATTTCTTTCATATGACAAGCATTAAAAAAAAATGAAAATGTTTATATCATACTTATTCATATATTAATTAATGATTTACTCTCATCTTCTAATTCGTCATCTTCACTAACATCAATCTAACTGGTCTTCTTTTTACACATAAAAACGAATATCATTAAACTAGACAACCCCAAAAATGAAGCATTAGCTAAAAAGAATATTATAGCAAACATAGGATATCCTAAAGATATTCTATTAAATTTAATTTATATTTCATACTTATTGTAAAATGTAGATAAATTAGTCATCTAACATATAAACTTTGCTTCCACTTTACTTACAGCTTCTAAAGTACATAATGATTATTATCTTGTTCTTATATCATAATAATGTTGATTCCCAAATGTTGCATATTATGGACATAATGTCATTAATTAATTACAAACTACCAAAATGCTTATATTTAAAATAGCAGCTACTATAAACAAAGAAGAGGGTTGAGTTTATTCTTTTTTTATTTCAAATCCTTTTAAAAATATTATTCCACATTTTATAATTCCATATAAAGTACAAATAAAAATATAAAGGGTAAAAATAAAAAAGAATAAATAATCCAATGGAAAATAATATGAAGAATAAACATATAAAGTGTCTATAGGATTCAATAGAGTTTTTTCTTATATTAAATACCCACATTAAAAACCACATGATGAATTTGTAATCTATCAAATATAATTACTTTATTACTTTATCATAAGTAGTAATAGCTAATGAACTAAATACTAAAACAGAAAAGCATAAGCAAATCATTCCAATAATTATTCTAAATGGTGAAATTATTTTAAAAATTCTTTATAAAGATTTGGTTTATGTTTCCAATTCAATAATTTTTTCATTCTTTAAATTTAAGAATCTTTCTTTTCTTTTTAAATTAGTTAAAGTCTAATAATTAAAGTAAATTTGTACTTTTTAATCTCCTTTAGAAATTTTAGATGAATTTTTTTAATATTTTTCTTAGATAGCTCTGTATTTTTCTCTTAACTTTGCTAAATCATTATCCACCTATGATTTTTCTTCTTCTAAAGACCTTGCACCTTTAATCAATTAAAATGGTAAAGCAGTTAATCCATATGATCCATAGATAACCCATAAAATAAAACCAAATGTTAAAATGATAGAAATGCAAAATGAAATTGCTTATTCTCCTAAATGATCAACATCAAACATTGTTTTAACCCATTCCAATTTTACAGATGTATTATAATTAACTTCAGGATTAAAAACAAGCCCTGAAATTAATAAGACACAAATAAACCCTATAAAATATACAGTTTATTTGGCTGATCTAATTATTTTTGATGATAGACGTTTTTCGCTTAAATCCAAGTCAAAGTCATTATCATAATTCAAAGCTCTTTCTTCAGAATAAAAATAGTTAAATGGCAATATCACAAAAGTGATGAATAATAATCCAATATAAAGATCTATAAGAATTAATCTCAATCTTACATATAAATACTTCTCTTATAAAATACTTATTTATTGGTTGATGTAAAGTAGAAATGACATCATTTGGATGAGAAGTCACAAATACATCAATTGGCACCATTAATATACAAATCATGGAAACAGTGAAACTTAGACATATTGAATTTATTGCAAAGTTATAAGCTTCGGCAGGATCTATATAGTATTTTACTATTATTCTGGATAAAAAGTACAGTCCCTATATTTATGTTATAAGAATACCAAAATTAAAGCAATATAAAGAAACCACGCAAAATACATTTTATGAATAAAATAATCTCAAAACAATAATAAATTATCAAATATAATGTTATTTCAGAAGTAATCACTTCCAGCCTTAAATTCAATCTGTTATCATTAGAATAATGAAGAATGTGAATAATAACTAAGACCTTTGTTTTTATTGATTCGAGAAAATCAAATTGATGTTTAATAAGAAAACATAACTTTAGTCGGTCTATTTAAACTCTTAAAAGTACGCTTTAACATTTTCATAGATCTGGAAATTAGACATCCCATTTTCTATTTTAGCTAAGTTAATGTTATACGCAAATAAATATTGTAACTAGTAATTGAATTAAATGATTAATCAACATTCTTTTCATTAACTAATGCATAACCCATAACTATAAATGATTTACAGGAAGAAACCTTAATCAGAAGTTTTCTAATTAATTGGAAATAATACTTATTTGTAAAATTGTTAATTTTCAACTCCTCAAACTCTCGTTGGATTATTTTCTAGACTAGGAGAACTGATTTAGAGGAAGTAAATGTATCTCAAAATCAATAATGAAAACATAGATATTAAGAATAAATATAGTTATATTATTTAAATGATGTAAAATACACCTAGAGAATAAAAGTTCAGTCCCAGAGATAATATTACAGAGAAATAAGATAGTTTACTTTTAGGAAATTAACTTTTTAGTACTTAATCAAAAGTTGATAGTATATTATTTTTGGAGGATAAAGAAGAATTAGAAGAAAATGATGATTAATTTCCTCAAATTAATAAACCTATAAAACAAAAGTTTTAAAAATTATAGAATGTCTTAGATTTGAATAATTAATAATTTAAAATGAATCATAGAATGAGAAAAATGCATGCAACTATGATGAAACATATGCTTATTCTTAAATCAAATTCAAATGTTCATAAAATAAATAAATTAATTCATTAAACATAAGGAACATTTTAAATTAAATTACCTGAAATTTGATTATTATTTTCATTATTAAAATATTCATTATGAAAAGAAGAATTAATTTTATTCATACAAATGATTAAAAAAAGTTTAAAAAGTATGATGAATATGATTTCTCCAAAAAAAGAATTATATTTTCAGAGAAAGAGATAAAAAAAATTAAATAAAGGTTAACTTTATTAAAATAATAGAATCAGATTTCTTAAAATTGCTCAAATTGGATATATCAATTATAAATAATTTCGTGAAAGTTTAGGAATCATGGGATTAGCAAATGCTGAATTTTTGAGTCAAAGATTATTTCATGCCATAGATATAGAAGATTCAAATAAAGTAATAAAAATTCAAAAATAAGATAACATTTGAAGATTTTTTAAATTACTTAAATATACTTGTAAATGGAAATAAATAATAAAAAGCAGAAATGAGTTTTAGATTTCTTGATTTTGGTGACTCAGGGAGAATATTATAAAATGATATAGAATAATTATGTGCTGATATTTTACTGTTTTGGCATTAAATTACAGGATCTAAAGTTTTACCAAATCTTTCCAAGGTTGAAATGTTAATAAAAGCTTTAGGAATGTAATCAACAGGTGAAATATGTTTTTCAGCCTATTTAGATGCATATGATAATATATCTAATACAATAGATTGGTTTGAGTTTTTTAATGAAATTTAGACTGAAAAATAATAAGTTCATTTATAAGAGATAGATAATAATAAGTTATAATAATCAATAGATACTTTATAAGATGAAGTATTATCTTGTATAATCTAATTAAAAAATTCAAAAAGAGGTGGAGAATCAATAATTTTCGATGCAAACATTAGTTAAATTAATCAATTAGATAATAGAATAGATGGACCTTTTTATGTAAGTATTTAAACTCCAAAAAGACCTGGAGATGTTGATCCATCTTAAGAGATAAGTATTTAATATTAGGCAAATCAACCACAATTTTCACTATTGCAGAATGAATCTAGAATACAGAAGATTGCTAGTTTTGGAAAATAAGATAAATTAATGGTTTTAGATTAAAAAAAAACAAAAAAACCAATGGGTGAAGAATTTAGAAGAGCTACTATAGCAAATATACCAAAAAAACATAAAGCAATTTATTTTGGCCATGAAAATTGGAATTTAGTGATATCTATGATGATTGGCATGAGAGCATCTGCTTTAGCTTTATGTACTCTCTCAATTGAGCTTAAGGATAAAGATTTTAAAAGTAAATACATCTATAATATTTCTAATACTAATAATTAAAGTATAAGTTATTAGTTTGTTGATTATGCTGGATTAGTTTATGAAAGGATTAGATAAATTTTTAAGATTTAATAGAAACATTATTTAACATCTATTGGTCCTGAAAATCTTTTGGGTAATTTAATGATAGGCAAATTAACTAGTTTGAGTGAGCTAAGTTCAACTGGGAAAAGTGGAAGCTTTTTTTATTTTACTGATAATGGCGATTTTATGATTAAAACAATATCTAAGAATGAATTTAAATTGCTTTCAAGAATCATCTAATAATATTATTAATATATAAGGGATTATGGCTCAACATATCTTTCGAAGATTTTAGGTTAACATGTATTAAAAGCATTTAAAGATAAAACAATGATTTCTAAAACATATATAATTGTTATTGTGAATGTATTTTAATCTCCTTTATCTATTGATGTAAGATATGATCTAAAGGGATCAACTTTTGGTAGGAAAACAAAAAAAGCTAATAAAATTATTGATAAAAATGTGGCTTTAAAAGATTTAGACTTTTTAGAAGAAAAAAAAAAAATATTTTTAGATTAAGGTATTTTATATATATATATATTATAATAATTAGAATTCACAAAATCCCTCTTATCTTAATTTAAAAATGATGTATTATTTTTAGAATCTTGTTCAATTATTGATTATAGTCTATTGATTGGTATTCATTCAATAAGGCATGATAGTAATGTTTAGAATTAGGTTGTTTCAAAAGATAATAAAGAAGTGTATTTTATTGGAATAATTGATATACTAACAGAATATAAGTAAATAATTTTGTTCATCTAAAAGTATGTAAAAGCAAATTGAATACTCATTGAAACATACATTTGTAGATTCAAATATTTCATGTGTTCCACCAAGAGAATATGCAATGAGATTTCTTAATTTTATCAAGTCAAATGTATTTGAATGAATTTGCTAAAAAAATTATATACAATAATAAAATCATAAACTATGGTCACATATTAGCATTAACTAATTGAGTTTCGTTTTATTAATTATCTCTTTTGTTTTCAGCTTTACTTCTAACTTATTTAAATTGATGTTTACTTTTTATATTGTACTTCTTTAATATCCATCATTGAAAGAAACACTTTCTTTATTTTAGGGTGTTCATCTGGTTAAACATTGTTGTGGTTTTATTTCTTTGATTTTTTGATTTCTTTTTTTTACTATGATTTAAGTGATTTAGATTTTCTATTTTATTCTTGTTATGGATGAATAGGATTAGTGTCATCATGCTTGGATAATTAAGAATTAGTTATTTCTGTTTCTATTTATTTTTCGATTGATATTTTTGAAGTTGGAATAGATTGTCTTTAAGAAGCCCTAATGATTAGTATTTTTAAATACTTTAACATCTGATTATAAATTAACATCTGTTGGAGAATCAATTGTTATTATAGAAGAAGGCTTTGATCAAAGTAATTCAAGCAATTCATTTGAAATATAAGGAATTATTTAAAGAAAAAAAAGATTTGAAGATTTGCCTTAATAGCAAATAATCATGCGTCACGGATTATTTGTGGTAATCCTTACAAATGATCTTGCATCATAATAATTAATCAAAATTTTATAATAATTATTATTTAATATTATATATTAAGATTAATATTAAAAACAAATTCTTTACAATAATAATAATTATTATTAATATATAATAATTTATTTAAATATTTTCCTATTATAATCAAATTTTGGCTTTTGTGAATGAAATTTAAATGTTTCTTCCATCCACTTCTTCATTGTGCATTAGAGCCATTACTTCCAAAGCTTGCTTTATAGTTTCCATTTTGATTAAACACATAAATTTAAATTATGAATTCAAAACTTTTACAGCCTTTTTATTATTTAAAAAAAGTACTTCAACGACACCATATTCTGAAAAAATGTCCCACATTGTTTCAACATTGGAAGAAACCTTTTTTAAATTAGAGATATGAAGAACCTAACTAGGAGCCAAAAGAATCATTTTATTATTTGAATTAAATCTAAACTGGATTTATAGTTTATTACCTATCCGTTTCTTCTGATCCAATATAATAGTCTTATTCTCTATATAATGTATCTAGACCAACTAATTTTTCAATTGAATCATCTGCAGCGAATGTAATTGTTATAGAACTTTCGAAAAATTATAAATTCTGACAATTTTAATATACGAAATAAGCCTAATCTTCTTTTAAATACTTTATTAAAGCAAAATTCTTTAAACTTAAACTAATACGAAAACATTACTTTATTAAAATAATTTTATCTATATTACCGAAATTGCTAAAGATATTATATATTTTATGAGCATCTAAGTCTTTCCCAGAAATACCATTTAAGCATACTGTTTTTGTAGATTAAATGTTCTTTTAAGATTGAATAAGTTTTTAACTTACAGGTAATACAGTTGCACTCTATGGTTTAGATTCTCCATCTTATATGACTAAATTTTATATTACTATATATAATACTATCATTTATAGATGTGGAATGTTTATTTTTGAATGAACTTGAAGTTGTATCTTCAATAGTTTCATAAGATCCTATAGTAAATGAACCATGTGGTATTAATGTATCATCTTAATAGTAAGAACATTTGATAAAATTTGATGATAACTAATCTAATTCTTTTTTTGCATTTTTAGCTGCTTCAATATTTGCCATCTCTACCAAAACTCGACATTCCATTAATGATCGATTCAATATTTTTACATGTATAACAGGGCCATACCTTATAATATTAAAGAATTCCCTTACTGACTCATGAGAGAGCTAAAATATTCTGGATTCAGATTTTAAGGTGGTGCTGTTAATGTTAGTAATAATAAGTGTGAAAAATGTCGAAAATCAGGTAAATTGGGCAAAGAATAGCTAAACATAATTTCTTATTTTTTTAATAATTTTCATTTTTCGTTTTTATTTAAATATATATATATCTTTAAATCTAAATCATGAATTTTAGAATTATATCATTAAAATAATTTTTTATAATTTGTATATATGTTTTGCAATTGTTTTTTGAGTAAGAAAAGGTTACAAAATAAACCAATCTATATAGAATTATAAATAATCCAACTAAAAAAGAATATTTTATGTAATAAAATTAATAAGTATTTATTATATCTTATTAATAAAATAATTCCACTTTAGAAAAACTCTTAATATCTTTTTTCATTATGACTTTAATAGCAATTCTATAGATTATATTGAAGAGCAGTGTCGTTCAAGCTCATAAGAATCAATTGGTTTCTTAATTACTTGATTAGTTTCTTTTAAAATCTATATCTAATTATTTTTCATTCAATTTAGCTCCTAATTGATAACTAAAAGATATAATCTAAATAATATTATTTAGAAAAAAAAGCTCTAATTATCTAGTTAAATAATTTAATTGGTTTAATATTATGGTTAAAAATATGAATCCCTGCTCCTTTGATACGTAATTATTAATTGTTTCATCTTCTACACAAGTTCTACAAATTATTGGATAACTATTAGAAAAAGTTACAAAAACTAGTAAGTATTTCATCACTTTATGTTATTCATCTTCATCATAATTAATATTTAATATTATGAGAGTATTATCCATAATAAAATAAGGCGATGGATCATCCTAAATAGTTCTTCGAGTAATAAAGAAGTAATGATATTATTCTCTTTTTTAAAAGGATCAATATCACGATTAAAATTTTATAAAGTCAATGTTATTAAAGATTCATTTTATTCAAAATTCTGCATATCCAATAGTTTATTATTTAAAACTGACATTTGGTGTTATTTTATTATTTATCCATATAACTATAATATACAAAAAGCATGCAAAGCTTATGCATCCTATAAAAAATAGAAATAATTCCTCCCATTTTACTTTAAAAGTTTGTTTTGTTATTATTTGTGAGATGAGTTATTGGTAGACTAAAAATATCTATTTTTTCAATAGTATAAAGAAATTTGTTTATTATTAAATTTTAAAAATATATATTTACAAATATCTCAATCAGGAGTTAAAATTTATACAACTTCAGTTTCTAAGATTTGATTTACAAATTAAAATTAAACTACATTAATAAATTATAACCATTAATATATTTTTCTTTATTTTGATATAGGAGCTTCAAAATGTATTATTTTATCCTTATAACAAATAGGCTAAAATTCTCCATAAGATACTCCTGTTCCAGGTAAACAATCTCCTAAACTTATAAAAGAGTTTTAAATAGAATCATAGCAAAATACAGTTCTAATAATTTCATCATCAAAATAAAATTCTCTTTCATCATCAATGAATTTTCTTCTCCATTATTTTCCTCCAAATAATAAAGCCTAATATTCATTTATTTAAATAGCAGAATATCCTCCTCCAAATAAAAATGGATTTAATGAAGTCTAAGATAGAGTAATTAAACTCCATTTTTCTTCAATTATGTCATATCTTTCAAAGTTTATGAATTCATGTTATTGAAATCCAATAGCATAGATATGATGATTTATTTTAAAAATGGATTGATTAGGTTTTGCATATGTCATTGACTCAATATTATACCATTTATTCTCTTAAATACAATATTTTTCACAAGATTTAGTCCATGATAATTTATCATCTATTACTTTTAAACCTCCAATAACATAAATGTATTTATCATAAACTATTAATCCATTAGATGGATTCTTGGCTTTTGGTAATGGTGATAAATTTGTTAGATCTCCATCTTTACATTTCAACATTGATCTAACTGGATTTCCTTTAGAATCAGCTCCACCAACTATGTAGGCAGTTCCATCATTTAAAAATACTGTTTTCAAAAATTAAGGTATTTACTAAGATCTTAAATCTTAAAATTCACCAATTTAATATTCTTATGTTTCTAAGTCATACAAATACATAACTTTAGCAAAATTTGGTATTAAAGGTATGCTTTAATAATTTGATCCTTTTATTTTATACAATTCTTCTTTAGAATCTTCATACCAATCAAGAAGTTAAACCATTTAAGAAAACTACAAATTTTATTTTATTATGCAATTCAAATCAATTAGTAATCTAGGAGGATATATTATTGAAATCTCATCCTTTGATAATAGTTACTCCCTTTTTTCAAATTAATTCAAAAAGGATTTTGACTATATAATTAATTTTTCTTTAAATAATGATTCAACCCATTATAATTAATCTTATAATTCGTTCTACAAATATTATTAAATCTTCAACTAAAATGAATTCAATCTATCTAAAAATGTTTTATTTGATCCCCATAATTCTATGAAATTATTCCACATACAAATATATTAGTTATAAATTTTATCAAAAAAATTTGAAATTTATTACTCAACTTATCTTCTTAATGATAATATTTTTTATAAGTTTTCTTCAAATAACTAACAATTAATCTAATTCTTAAGATTGTTGTTCTTTTTATTAATGTTTTAATTTATAATTTTAATTTTATCATCTAAAATTTTAACTTAATCTGATAGTAAACTGAATGCTTCCTTAAAGTTTGTTATATTATGAGATTAATTTTATTTAGTGTGTGTTATTCCACAATTAATGCATAATAATATATAACAATCAACACAACAAACTGGTACTGAGACATCACCACATTGCTTGCATTTCGAAAATTAGGCTTTTAAATTTGTTTATACTGAACTTGAATTTCTTTTTGGAGTTGATTTATTATTAATTGTTGGTAGGTTTAAATCGTTTACCAATTTTGATTTTCTATTTGATATCTGCATGATTAATTAATCAATCAATTTTTTTTTTAATTTTCTTATCATTTATACATTACAAGATTTATTACTAATAAATAGTTTTAGAATCTATTATTTTATCATCTGAATTGAGATTAAATAAGTTAAATATTAATTATCAAATCAATCTACATGAATATTTATATTATTCAATATTTATAGAGTTGAATTATCATTAATAAAATTTCAAATTATATTTATTCAAGGTATGATATAAGTGAGTTTGTATGATATTGATTTAGGCTTTTAGTTTCATAAGCTATACTTCTCAATTTAATCTAATTCTTAAACTGTTGAAACTCATTTAGTTTCTTAATTACCAATATCAACTTTAATTGAAGGCAGAGAATTCAAAATAATAATTAAAGATGGTAGTATAACAATTGGAAGTATAAGTTTTCCTTCTAAATAATTAACTAAATAATTAAACCTTGTGAGATGGTATAATCAAAAGATTAAATAGGATAACTTTATTTGACCCTAAAGATGATTAATATGATGGAAATCTAATAGAAGATGATTTAGAATAACCAAGAATATTGCTAAGAATTGAAACTAGTTACCAATATCAATAAAAGTTGTCTAAATAGAACTTATTAAATACAAATTAGATGAATCTAAAAGAAAGTACTTAATTATAAATTGATAAAAAAAAACTATAATAAATTATTGATGATCATAAGGATATGTAGAATAAGTATGCTTCATTAAAAGAAGATTTATAAACATATAAAGATATTTCTTAGTCAGAAATAAAAAAGTTAGAACAAGAAAGATAATCATACATACAAGAAAATAAAGTATTAAAATAATAAATACAAATATTAAAATAAAATGAGTTACCAATCAATGATTAATAATAAAAGAATGGAACGAATAATAATAATAAAAATAAATGAAATAATTGTATTATGATTTTATTTATCTCTCATGCTATATTTTTTAATGTTTCTAATTTGTGCACACTGAATCTTGGATCAATTATTTAATGGAAATAATTTGGACCATAAATTTCAAGATATTGTTTTGCTAATCTTCTTCTCCTTGGCCATTAAATAAGAGTCTTTTAATGAATATTAAAATGTACTTCGCTTAAAAAGTTTGGATATTAAAGGCAAACTTATTAAGTAGCTAAAAATACTGCCCAAAGACCAAGAGATTTAGCATTGAAACTCCATGTTTTATATAAATACACTCCATAGATTGCATTCATTGCTGAACATGTGAATTATAAAGTATATGACACTATTCCAGAAGGCAAAGGAGATAATATACGATTTCTAAAAAGAATATACAATTTATTAATACTCTTAAGGTGTGAAAAAATTAGGATTTAATAGCTATAATTTTTGTAAGGCAAAGACAGTTCTATTAATAATTTAAGACTCGTCTAAAAATATAACATTTAATATTTTACTATAATTTTCGATTGATTTGTGATCATAATTATCTGTATTAATATTTGGTAGATTGTGATAAATCAATGAAGCAAAAGGTCTTAAAATATAAGGTAATCTTTATTAATAGAATGGTTATAGTCTCTTAATTTCTTCAGCTTTAATTTCATGTGATATTGCTGAATCATGATCTTCATGATGATCTCCTCCCATTTTATATTAATTATTTAATTAATATCTATATATTAAATACTATGTTTTATATATTATAAAACAACTAATCAATGTTTCAAATTCATTCTTTTTGCTCTAAACTTCTTTTAAATTAATAAAGCTGCTGCATTTAATTCATGATCCTCTTCTTATTTTACTTCTTCATCCTATTATTATTTTTTATCTGTTGCATATACTTCAATTACTTATTACCTCTGATCTTCAGATTCTATTTTAATTGTGAACTTCTCCATTCCATCATATTAATTCTTACTAGTATTTTATGGTAAAGAAGATGATTTTTAAATGAATTTATCTGATGGAATTTCTTCCATTATAGGTGTAGGTTCAAAATCTTAAGAGTATTCTTAGGATGTCACTAACTTTTCCTCTTATTCTTCAAATACTGGTTATACATCTTCATCAATTTATTTAATCTGTTCCGCTAATAATGGATGAATTTCATCAGAAACTACTGAATTCGATTTATGATTAAATATTGGCTATATTTCTTAGTCTTTTGAAATTTAACCATTATCCTCAAATGCATCCACTAAAAATACTAAAGATTCATAATCATTTTTCACTTATATTAATAAATTCTAATTCTATTCAGGTATATATATATAAAATTAGTTAGCCTAATTGTATGGTAATTGAAAAGATTGCTTTTCTAAATTTATTTTTGCATATCTAAAATATTCAACACTAAAACTAATCAATGTGTTCTTCATTCCTAATGGGTTTTGATTAATTGTATTAAATTGGTTATTTACATCACTTACATTAAGACTATTCCCAATTAGTTTAATCTTTTTAGGTCCCAAATTTACAGCAAACTAGTCTGTAATTTCACTGGCTAAATATTGGAAGTACAAAATATTTTATTATGTAAATAAGTAGATACTCATTGTACCTTAATAAATTTCTTATATTCCTGATTAACTCTATAAGATATTAAAAATATTACTTCAATACTTGGCAAATGAATATTTTGATATGATTATAATAATTATACATTTCCATTTTTTAATAAATTACACTCATTTATACTTTGCTCTAGGTATTAAATAAATTTTGAAGGAATTTAATGGATATTATTGTTAGGTTAAGTTATCAATTAATTTGTTTTATTCTTGTAAAATAATTCAGATTAAAATGTTTATTATGTTTAATTAAAGGGCTATTTACTAGAAATATTGGCAGAATTTAATTTTGATGTTGATTATGAAAACTAATGTTGTTAACTTTATTATTGTTTTGTAATAAACAAATCTGGTTTATATGAAGTCAATGATTTATTCTATATTTTATATTCTGGCTTATTACCAACTTTCATAATTTTAATTCCATTATTTGTATAAGGTTATTTTAAGGGAGATTATGGTCTAGGTAATTAACTATTCAATAATATTTAATTGGGTTTGAATTTTAATATTTAAGTTGATTAAGAAGAAGGTATTTTATTTAAATAGGGTTTAAACTTTAACATGGCTTTTTCCTCATTGTATCTTTATCTTTCAACAGATTTTATTATTTTTTATTTCTTTTTAAAAAAATTACTATTTAATTTTCCATTAGTTTAATCTGTTGGATTTTTAACCAAATCTACAAATGGTTATTAAGTTAATGTTGCTTATTGTGGCTTTTTAAAATTAAATCCTGCTGCAGAATTATATTTTTTTAAAGTCTTTTATTATTAAAATTGAAGTTTCTATAAATATGCTGCTTACCTAGACAAAAATTAATCATAAATCTGTTAAATCTTCATTTATTTACTCTCATTTAGGTTTTATTATGAGTATACTAAACTACTATAATAATTATAATGAGCCTCTTGAAATTATTTTTCATGCTCTTTTGCAATACCTAAGTTAATATAAGTATCACAAATAGATTCATGAAGTTCTTCTGTTGTTTTATTTGTTGAAATGGCTGCCTATTATAAATGTTGTAGCGCTGCTTAAGCTTCTTAAATTGCTTAAGCATAATGATTAGTGTATAAAGAATTTGAAGATAGTAGCATATATGTTTAACCAACTAATTCATCTATTGAAGAATCAAATTTATATTAAGATAACATTTACAAAGACAGTTATAAATAATGTGTACTCTCATCATATTTATTTTATTTTCTTAAAAAATCTCCATATGCATTCAAGACTCTCACTTAAATATATGGAGGACATCTTATATGGATAATGTCTTCATTAGATTATTGAATCTAAATTAAATATTTTTTACTTAACACCAAATCAATAATCTGTTCAAAATTTGTTATGATATCAAATTATCTTCAGATTTGACAATTACTTTAACTAATTGCAAAACTACATCTTCAACCAATTTAACTAATCTAATTGATGATAATTGATGTTCCCCTTTTTTGAATGCTTATTCAAATAACTAGAGACTATCATGAATATTCATTAATTATAAGGAATAATTGGCCTTGCTTAATAATTAATCAACTGAATTCTAAAATCTAAGTGTGGTATCGCTGACACCACTTAAAGGCCTAATTGGTTTACTAGCGGTCGAATTAGCATCATCAACTCTTGTAATTGCTGATTACGGTCGTTTCATTAATTTTATATTAATATTAGAGCATTTTATATATTTTATATCACTCAATTATGAAAAATTGAAATTCTCAATATCTTTTATAATTTATTATAATTTCTATGTAAATAAACTAATTCATGTAATGATTAATTTTATATTTCAAGATCTATTACATTAAAATAATTATTATATTCTTAATATTTTAATAAAATTCTGAAATATAGAAAAAAAGTTAAAGTTGAAGATAAATTTTATTTTAATAATGACTAATACTATTTCTTATATTTAATAATTAAAATTAATCTAATTCCTACATATTTTGATTTGAATTTATTAATTTTAGTTCTATTGACATCAACATATACATTAGAATAGATAATTTAATTTTTAATAATTTTAATTCAATATTTCATCAAATTTTATATTCTAGATCTAAGACACTATTTTTCTTTGTTTCCAAGAACCAAAGAATTTAGTGTAAAATGTGTACTCATTCTAGGTGAATATTATTGACGACTTGTTAAACAATTTTAGAGACATGGATTAGGACTTTAGGGAAGTGAACCTTTATCTTTATCTTTATCTTTAGATTATTATCTAGATAATCTTGGACTAATAAGGGCAAGGGTATTTAATGAAAAATTTTTAATTTCAACTTAAGATAATCTTTTTATACTCTTCCCTTTATTATTTTATAAAAGCATTGGCTTTGCTAATTTAAACATTTAAAACCAATAATGATATAAAGCTTGATTTGCATTTAATCTTTTTTATGGATTGACTTACAATATTCTTCTTAAAAAGTCTTTTCCAATATCAGTTATATTTTTAATATTTGATAATTCTATAATTCCAAAATAATTCTATTGAACTTTCTGATGATAATCACCTTAAAAAGGCTCTTTCCCTGTTAACAATATAATCATTATAATGCCAATACTATACATATCTACTTTATAATCATATTACTAATCTTAAAGTAATTCTGGTGCCACGTAACCAGGAGTTCCACATCTTGTAAATAAATAGTTACCATCTTTAGTATAAAAATCTGCCAATCCAAAATCGCCTAAACATAAAGTCTCCATCATTCCTTTTTCCTTAAATAATATATTTTCAGGTTTTAAATCTCTATGCATAATTCCTTTTTGATGCAGGTAATGGATTACCTTTAATAATTTATAAATTATTATTGCTATTTGTTCTTCTGTAAAAATTCGATCTTATTTTTCTTCTATAAATTACAAGAGATCTCCTCCCTTTAAATATTCCATTACTAAATAAACAGCATCATTTGTTTCAAATGTTTCATGTAATTTTATAATAGATTAATGTTGTAATTACCTAAGTATTGAAATCTCTTTTACTAATTATTGCTTATCTATTTCTATAATCTCCTCTTTTTTCATAATATATTTAACAGCATATTCATTACCATCATATTTATTTCTGGCTAAGAACACCTAAAATATTTCCAAAATTTACCTATGAAAAGCTACCGCTTCCAATTTATTTTTATAATACATAGAAAAAGTCAAAATCTGATTATATTGCAAATCTTCTCATAGAATTAAACCAGATTTCTACATCTCCATAAAAATCAAGCTTATCATTACCTTTTTATAAAGTTAAACCTTATCCATATTAATCATCATTAACTATTGTTAATATTGAATTTTCATAATTTACCCATTTAGTTTTCCCCTTTTATATATCATAGCAGTACTTTTTTAGATTTTATAATCAGATAGTTGTTAATTAAGTGAAATGATCTAAGTTTTCCTGTTCCATTCCTAACAACATTAAATTCATCTGTTAACTAATATTGCTAATTTATTATGGGAAATTTTGAAAACATCCAATCAAATTTAGAATTTTAGTTTGAAAAGAAAGAACAAGTATGCATAATTGTGAAAAATACAAAATTATTTGATAAATTATAAAATAAAATACATTTTGTATGTTTTTATTTATATAGTTTTAATGGTTACATAAAATATTTTTCAATTCTTAACTTTCAAGAATTTTAACCTAAATAATTAATTCGGCAATTTTACTGTTTCTTTTGGAATCCAAAGGTTAATTATCCATATTTATCATAATAATAGGATATCATACAAACCAACAAATAATCACATTGTTCTCTTAATAATTGTCATAATCATTTTATTGTAATTGATAATTAAGAATTTTTACAAAGGTGAATCATACTTGATATTTTTAACAAAAACAGTTCATTTTTGGTCTCAATAAATAAATAATTTGATACTTTAAGAAAGTGATTTTTGATATTATATTTATCAATCTTTTAGAAGTTTAAAGTAGATTAAATTTAAAAAAATCCAATTTTAGATCTTTTCATTGATAAATCTTAATGTAAAGGATTCTCATATTCCAAATATTTTAATATTTTCTATCTAACAAAGAAGTTTAATAATTATGTTTAAGATTTATTATTTTATATATTTTCAAGAATGAAGACAATAAATTATGACCAAACTATCTTGACGGTGTCCTGCTACAGAAAACACATGATTTTAGATACAAAATACTATGTTTAAGTACTACCTAATTAGTTAATTCTTTCTAATGTATTATTAAATTTTTAATGATATTAGTCTCCTCGGTAAATTAATCCAAAATATATTTTGGAATTTAGCTTAGAGAAAAAAATTCATTGGGTAACAAAAAATAAAACCACAATTTTGGAATAATTTGGGTTTTAATATAAAGGAAAAATAAAATATTTTTATGGTCAATCGACAGATTTATATAAATTGAAGGATTGTATGCAAGGATAGATAATGTATAAAGAAATAAGTGATTTTTATCAGCCATTAAGTTTATTAGGTAAAGGAGGTTCTGCAAAAGTATTAAATTAATTCAGTCTAGGTTTATATGGTCACTAAAAAAGGTTATAATGAGAAATATGCATCAAAGTGTGTAGATAAGAGATATTTATAAGAAGATGGAGGATATGTAATAAAATCTAAGTAATTAAGGATGCATTATTTAATGAAATAAGAATCATGCAAAAACTGAAGCATCAGAACATAATTTAATTGGTTGATTTATATGAAGGAGAGTCTACATTTTATTTAATTTTAGAATATTTAGCAGGGGAAAGTCTTCATGAAATGTTTAATTAAAGGCAAACAATTTTAGAACATTAATAGATTTAGATGATAATGAAAGTAACATTTAAATTTACAAAAGCTATTACTATAAGCTGTATCTAACATGCATCTAAATGGAGTTATGCATAGAGATTTGAAACCAGAAAATATTATGTTTAAATAACTTAATCAATTTGATACATTAAAAATTGTAGATTTTGGTTTAGCAACATTTTCAAGTGCTGAAGAATATCCTTTTCCAAAATGTGGAACTCCAGGATATGTGGCACCAGAAGTGGCTAATTTAAGAGATTTAAAATAAAAGTATGATATGATTTGTGATGAATTCAGTGTTGGATGCATATTTTATAAATTGTATTTATTCATTTATACCTCAGATGTACCAATAAAGAATTATTTCCAGGTAATGAATACAAGGAGATTTTAAAATTAAATAAAAAATGTCATTTAAATTTAGATTCACTTGCAATATACAAAACTCCTCAAGAAGCTTGCGATCTAATATAAAAATTATTGAAAATAAATCCTAAAGATAGAATGACTGCTTAAGAAGCTCTTAGTCATCCTTATTTTTCATAAAAGTTTGAAACTAAAAAATCAAAATTCTAATCTTCTAATTTAAATAAATAAAATCCAGTATTTTAAACTTAAAACTTCTAACCTATCTCAAAATTAATTAATATTGACGATGATGAAGTTGAGGATGAAAATTGTAAATAATTATAGGTTCCTGTTATGAATGATCTAAAATCTTTCGGTCTCATAGCTTATTCTAATTTAGAAAAAAATAAATTTTAAATCAATTAAAATGGTAGAAGAAACTTTAAAAAATGCCAAACTTCAGAATTTGAATAACATTAAAATAATCTAAAAAATTAGGTAAACAATTCTAAACCATCTTTCATTCTTAAGAGTGATTTAAATGAAGAATCATAATAACCAAAATAACATTGTCAAAAACATAATACTTTAATTAACAATTTTCTAAAAATTGGAGGAAAATAAGAAATGTGCAAGATTGATGAAGACATTGAAGAAAATGGTTATTAAATATGAAATTTTATTAACAATTTATTATTCATATTAATTAATTAATGCAATAAATTTTTTTTACCCAGCCATTGAATACTACTTAAAAAAAAACAATTTTTAATGAAGAAAGGTAAATAATTGAGATTGAAGCTAAAGAAGAGCAGGATGATAAAAATGATGATCATACTTTAATATAAAGCTAAAAAAAATATTAATTCAAAAAGTAATTAAGACAGCTTTTAAATAATAAATCAAATATGTATTTATTTTATGCCATTAAAAATTAGCTACTTAAAAGAAAATTTAGCCAGTCTTAAAAAGCGTAAGATATTGGAGGGATTTTCAGGTGAAACACCAGCACCAGTTTAGCAATGTTTTTCTTTTTTTAGTTAAGCTTTATAAAATGCTAGAAGTCTTAGGTATTCTTTATTAATATACATATCAGATCTTTAGATATTTCAGGTATGGATATTCACCCACTTTTGGCAATAGAGATAGGATAGGGTTTATAGCATAATGCATCATTGAGAGAGATCAATATTTCTGGATGTAAAATGAATAGCTTTTGTTTGCAATACATTTTTTCTTCTATAACTAACCATAAAACTCTTTAATCGATAAATTTATATAATAACTAAGGATTTACGATAGATTTGATGAATGATATTAGTTAATTTGTTTTTAAAGGTAAAAATCATTTAAAGAAACTTAAATTAACTCATTGTAATATATCAAATACTGCTATGAGTTATTTACTAAGAAATTTAAAGTATAATTTCATGATTTTATTTTAGATATTCTGAAACTATTAATGCTTTAGATATATCAATGATGTAATTTAATACAGAAGTTTTAACAAGTTTAGGGATTGCACTATAACATTATAAAGGAGATAAAGTGCTTGAATATTTAAATGTCTCTGATACTAGTATTAAAAATGACGGATTAGATACTTTGGCTTAAAGAGTCAGTTGGAATATGAGAAGAATCAATTTAAAAGAATTAGTATTAAGAAGAAACTTTATTAATTAATTAGGCATACCCTCTTTAGAGGCTTTTTTAAGAAAAATATCATAACTTTAGAAATTGGATCTTTCAAACAATAAAATAGAGGAATTTACTTGCTAAGACTTATTATAAAGAAAAATGTATGAAATTAATCTGAGTAACAATGTTATGATGTGTTTTCCGCCTTAGTTTTTTATAAATACACTTGTAGTTAATCTATCAAATAATAATATATCTAGTTAAGGGGCTTTTTAATTGTCAACTATTCTCAGATAAAATCCTTTATGGGTTGAATTGAATTTGTCAAATAACTAATTAAAAAGTGAAGGATTTAATTCATTAATATTCGGGTTGAGAGATAATAGAATGTTGAAAAAGTTAATAGTTGCAAAAAATTAATTAGATGGAGAAGCTATTATATGTTATATGATAAATCATGAATAAGTCTATTTTGAACATTTAGATATTTCTTTTAATTAAATTAGGTATGCAATAATATTTGTTCTATTAAAATTTATAAAGAGTGGTTGTTTAAGGTGTTTAAGATGTTCTTATTTAGAGAAAGAAGAAGAGATAAGAAAAGTAGATTAAAATGTTGATCAAAATGCAAAGATCATAAAATAAGATGAACATTAACAAAAATCTAATAATGCTGCTTTTTAATTAACATCATTTAATTTGAGAGAATTAGATTTCCATGGAAATAAGGAAATTTTTACTCCTGTAGTAGCTTCCTTATCAACTTATTATAACAAAATTGAAAAATTAGATTTGTCCTCATGTGCACCAATAACTGATTAGGATATTGAATTATTATGTTTATTTTTAAGAAAGTCTACTATAATTCATGATTTAAATTTAAGAGACTTAAATTTAGGAACAATGAAAAAGGATTGTATAAAAAAATTGAGTGAAGCATTATTCATTAGTAGTATCAAATACTTGAATCTAAGTAAAAATAGAATGTATAAGCAAATAAAAAGATTGTTTAATTCAAACAATTTAGGATCAAATTATAAATTGGAAGTTTTAGATTTAAGTTATAATTATTTGGAAGCTAAACATGCTCCATATATTGAAAATATGATGATGTCTTTGAAAAATTTGTAGGAAGTGAATTTTTCTAGAAATTGTATTAATTTTGAAGGATTAGCTGCAATAAATAGATCTTTATTTGCGAATCGAACTTTAAAAAGATTGAAGTATTTTTTCTCATTTATATAGTTTGTCGTATTAGAAATTAAGTGCAGATGATTTATTAATATTAAGTTAAACATTGGGAAATGAAAGCCTACAAGAATTAAATTTAGCCAATAATCCTTATACTACAAAACTTAAAACTTTCTTTTATTAATGTTCTACATAAAAATAAGAATTTTTACATCTATCTTAAGTTTATTTTGATAATGCCAATTATCATAGTCTGATGAAAATTATTGACAATTAGAAGAAGAATTTGTTTGGTGTTAATCTGGATTCTTGTATTTTTTAAAAAAAGGATTATTGTAAATTTTTTGAAAATCTCTCAAAAAGCAGAAAGCTTACATATTTCGCAATAAATTATAATCCAACAATATATAAAGATTTAGAAGGGACTATTGATTTTATTTCTAAATTAAAAAATTTGAGGATTTTAAAATTAAATTAAGTATCTTTAGCTGATGGTTTTGTGAATGCACTTAAAGATTGGTTTTCAAAAAGTGGATGTTGTAATGTAAATTATATATATTTATTTTAGTTAAGCACTTTAGATATGAGCTAAAATAAATTATAATAGTAATGGTTATATAGTTTATGCTAAGGAATAAGTTCCAATTCCTCTTTAAGAAATTTAATGTTAAATGATTGTTATTTAGGATTTTTGAATCTTACACCATTAGGAATAGCAGTTTCTTAAAATAAAACTTTAGAAGTTTTAGAAATAGCAAAGAATTAGATTAAAAATAATTTAGATAACTTTTTAACATCAGCTTTAGAGAACGCTTAAATTTGCAGACTTGAAGAATTAAATTTAGCAGAGAATCCTTTGGATAAGCAATCAATATTAGATTTATTTATTCCAAAAATATTAAATAATATGAATGGCAAAAATATTAAATTACGATATTTAAATTTGTCGAATTGTCATCTATAAATAGATTTATTTAAAGAAATATTATAAGGATAGTAGTTATATAAAGATAATTATTCATTTTAACATATACTTAGTTTAAGTTTGAGTAATAATTAACTGAACGATAATGTAGGTTAATAGTTAAAATAAATTATTTAAAGTTCAACCAAAATGAAGGAATTATATTTATAAAATAATTTATTTACAAGCAATGGAATGATTTTAATTTTTGAAGGTATGTTCGCTAATCAGACTATCAGAACTATTAACATCAGCAACAATAATTTAGATGATATTTGGGTTTTAAAATTATATGATTAAATATAAAATAAAGAATTAAGTAATTTAGAGTTCATCATGCTTAGAGATAATAATTTCACAAGAATAGGTTTAAAAAAATTAGCTTAAATAATCTAAAAAATAACAAATCTTTTTATTGATAATATTTGGTCAGAATTAGACGATACTGATGCTGCTATAATTTTATAATAATATACCAGAATTGGTTAGACTTATAAACTTGAATAATCAGCTATTCCTTAATTTTTAAAGGAAATTTAAATATAGCGATCAAATCTTACTGATAAGTTTTGTGAGATACTTGGAAAATACTATCCAATGTTGGGATTCATTGAGTTTATTGATATTTCAGACAATCCTTTCATTACAATGTATGGTAAAGTTTATTTATTTTTTCATTTATTTGATACAAGTTATGAAAGACATTAATTAAAAGCTATGTATATAACAGATTCTTAAGAAACAAGAAAATTATTTGATGATGGTTTGTTAAGATATCTTACACTTAGATTTCGAAATTTTTTGTATCCTCCAACTGAGATAAATGTTATAAAAAAGTAAAACAGTAAAGCTGAAGTTTTTGGTGTTCCAAATAATTAGCTTGATTCTTAAATGGGTGTTTAGTAAATAATTGGAGGAATGTGTGGATCTTGGTTAATTCACAAGATTAATAAATTAATGGCTTATTTAGATTAAATTGAACCCCCATAATTTATAGTTAGCACTCTATTTATTGGAAAATTCAGAAGGAATAATATTAATATCAAAATTATTGTCATATTTTTTTGGATTGCTTTTCTTGCAATAAATTTATTATAATTTTTGAAAATACTTAGTAATCAATAAAAACCTTTAGATAAAATACTGATAGATTTTAATTAAACTTGTCCAGAAAGTATTCAAAATTAAACAGAAGATTGCAATATGTTTGGTTATTCAAACTTTGTTAGCGATGTTTATTATTTTATCATTGTTTTTGCATCCACTATTGCAATTGAGATATCATAAATTATTGTTACAGTCACACTAAGAAGAAAAATTTAGCCTGCATTTTAAATAGTGCATCCATCTTTGTTAAAATATCTTCATTCATAATATCCACATCAGAAAGAACTTTTTTTGATGTTATTTTCAATCCTCAGTAAAATAGGAACATTTCCTGAAAGAATATTTTTATCTTACTTGTTAGTCTCAACTGATGAAGGATTAAATTATGAGCCAATGTACTTTAAACTCTTGATTTATAAATTTATTCTTGGGATTATAATTCTTTTAAGATATGGAGAAACACTTTTAATTTCAATAATCAATTTAACAAAATTTATGCTTGCTACCCCAAGAAAAGATCAAGCATTTTATTTATCTTTACTATAAAGAAATTTTCATTATTAAAGTTATTATGTTTTAAGTGATATATTAGTTTCCTTATGTCCAGTATAAGGGTATTAATTAACTAAAGCAATTAAAATTAATTACGAAATAATTGTAGAAACCTATAGAATTATAACTATAGAATTATTTTTAATAATTTTCATCAGTTTCTTTTCAAGAGAATATAATAATATTAAGCAATTAAAGTTTGATAACACTGATCCATATTGGTTTTTAAGTGGATGGATAATTTTAACTTTAATCAAAGCTATAGTGACAATAATTAGTTCATTATTTACAATTTTGACAGTAAGACCAGCAGTTGTTAAACAACATGGTTTTAATTAAGCTTTAGCAATTAAAAAATTTTATGAAAATAAAAGTGAATTCGTAAGACCTTCTAACATAAAGATTGAATATCATTTATAAGGTTTTATCGAAAGAGAGAAAGAGAAGTAAATAGAAAAAACATAATATGTTCTTGAAAATAGCTCTAACTTATAAAATAATTCTCAGAATTTGGAAAATGAGATAAAATTTGAGATTCAGAAAAGCAAAATGGATGAAATATAAGAGGATGTAAAATTAGAAGCAATTGATGAAGAAGATTCTCTAAATGATGATTAAAATAAACTTGAAAAAGATTCAGGTAATATTGATAAATATTTAGGAGAGTATTCATATTCACAAATAGATTATTAAGATCCTCCATAATATCCTTTAAGATAACAAAGGCCGAAGTTTAAATATGTAATTTGATTTTATTAATAATAATTTAATTATATTGTTTTTACTATGTCGACTCCTTAAGTACAATTCAATTTTAATTAAGATTAATCATCTAATTTAGCTTCTTAATGAAACTCATCGAGATCACAAAGCTTTAATTGAATACTTTTTAGATTTTCAAATTATCAAAGACTTTTAAGAAACTTAGGGTTCATAATTTTTCAACCGTCTAATATAATAGATCTCTTATAAAATATACTTGCCTTAAGAATACATAATAGAGGCAGGGAAATCCGTTAATTATTTGTTTATTTTCTTTTCAGGAATGATAATACGGAACATTTCTAAAAAAGATAAAAACTGTATTGAAATCACAGAAAAATAAATATTAGGAGAAGAATTCTTTTTATCAAGATAATAATGCAAATATAATTATATAGCAAATCAAGAAAGTTTAGTCTGTTATATTCATTAAGACGATTTTTATAAATTTGTTAAAAAAAGAAAACTTACAAAATCACTTATTAATAATATACTTTAATACTCGCAATTTTAAGATATGTCACCTAAGTACATTACATAATTTAAACTTTAGCTTTATTGAATAAATTATTTAACGTAGCAACACTTTGTATTTTTAAAATCACTAAATAGTTTATGATATAAGTGATGAACCTCAATCTTGGTTTATTATATTGGATGGAGATTTTTAAATTAATTACAAATTTAAAGAATAATATCACCCTTTAGCAATACTATCTAAAGGGAATTATTTTGGGGAATAGGAAATAATTAAAAAATAAAAGAGAACTTTTAGAATATCTTGTATATCAACATATTCTGAAACATTAGAAATTCCTAAAGTATAATTTTTGTTTTTACTTTAAAAAAATTTATCATTCAATTAAATGATAAATGAAAACCTCTAAAATAGAGCTCATAAATATGCCTCAATGATTGTTGAAAACAAATAAAATCTTGATCTATAATTCAATTAATCTCCTCCAAAACCAAAGTTTTCTTTCAACTGTCCTCATGTTCGAATAAAATCAAAGAATTAAATTGATAATTAAGATTTTAAAGAGTTGTATTCATAACGAAAAACTGAGCTTGAAAATTTATTGAATTACAGAGTCTTGTTAAACGAAAAAGAAACCAGCAAATCAGTAATCGAAAAATTAAATTAAAGAAATCCGAGATTAAGATAATTTTTGGATAGGTTGAAGACAATAAGATAAAAATCTAATGATAAATTAAAAGAAAAAAGTGCATTTTAATTAGATTTTTAGAAATCTCATAGAAAACTAATGACAGAAGTTGCTCTTTCTTCAAGAGAAACTCTGGGTGCTTTTAAAAGCACAATATATTCACCCACACTATCTTCAAGAGCATAGACTAATAATTAAACTGTTAGTCCTAAGTATAACAATAAATTATATAAATTAATTTTTAATTGATTAATAACTTTGTAGAATAAATTTAAAATTAATTAAAATAATCATTATCTAAGTATTATATAATTATAATATAAATTATAAATTTGTAAACTCTTACATCATCATTATTAAAAAGATGGTTATATGTTTTAAATGATGAAATTGTGAATAATTTAGAATGAATAAAAATAATAGAAATCCGTAGAAGGTTGCTTATGATAGAACTCTCAAGACAATTGCTAAACGAACTATTAATTGCAAGAATAAAATTCTTTAAATTTTAAATGATTTTAATACAAAATTCTTACTTATTATTAAAACTAACATTAAACTTAGAAAGTTTAAAGTTATATTTATGGAAAATTTTATTTAAGAATAATTGAAAGTAGTTGTTTGCGTAGCAAAATCAAAAATCAAGTTCTTATATTTGTAGCAACTCAATATTATACTGAAAATTGGTCGAAACAAATTGAATAAAATCAAAATGAGTTTTGTTATAATAAAAAATCAATATGATAGCTTTTACACTAGGAGATAAAGATATGAAATAGAGTAGAGTTGGATTAAAGGTTTACTTAAGGTAAATAAGTTATTTATAATATGATTACATATTGTATTATTGATATACACATTGATAGATTTGTATTCATATTTGTTGAGCACTTTAATATGAGAATGTTTCAGATTTAGAATTTTTCAATTTGAAATATTAGTTTAAAAATTATATCAATAGATAAAGTATACCATTCGATACAATTATACTCATGTAGATTTGGATTTTTGATGAATATTCTTTTCATTAAACCAAACTCTTCTCCAAAAATTCCACCTAATAAAAAAGAAATTTTATGAACATGTAAAATACTTTTTCCTCTTAATTCGAGTAGAAAATAAATGGGTCATTCTAAACCTTAAAAATAATTAAGAAAAACGCTTAGAAAATTGAAACAAATCTTCTTGGATATAAATTTTAATTATTGTATTTATAAATTTGGTTCAAAAAAAATTAATATTAACTTAACTAATCTATGTATAAATTTTCACATTAAACTTATATATTAAGTAATTTGAGTAAATTCAGAAGTTGAAAAATATTATGTTACCATGAAAAAAAATCAAGAGAATGAATGCTAATTATGATGACAAAATAGGTAAATAAGTAAATTTTGAAATTGAAAATAAAGCTTATAAACTAATAAATATGAATTCAGTTAAAGAACGATTATCATATTATGATTCTGGAATTGAAAAAATCCTCTCGATTAATCATATTTTAGGGTTAAAGGAACTGGAATCCAATTTAATGATAAAAATTAACTATTTGACTTAGCCTAATGGTAATCAATAGGTTTAGATTTAGATCAAACACTCCAAGCATGCGAAGGATACAGATTTTAAAATTATGATCAAAGCTAACTGATTTAGTTTGTGCCTAATTATTTTCAACAAATAAGATTCAGCAAAGTATTCAATTCACTAAGGAAACAGTTATCTTCTCCAAAACTTTAATACTAGGGTTCAATTAAATCTAAATCAGAAGCTAAATTCAAGTGCTCATATTTTTTAGTTTTCAATTTTTGACTTATTATCATTTTGAAGAAAAAATCAAAAAGTAGTTTTTCTTTTTTCAATTTTCTGAATTTTACACATTTTTCAGTTAAATTAGAAATTTGTATTAGCATTATTGTAAAAATATTTTTATATTTCCAAACATCAAAAGTTTATATTATAAATAAAAATCTTCTTTTTAAAGTTAATCAAAAGAAAATCAGAAAAAATAAATCAAACAAATTAAAAATTATAATGATACCTAAATTATTGATGATACTGATATTGATTTTATTTTATAAATCATTCTTCTTTAATTGCTTTCTTTTATAAGAATAATTCTAACAAAGATTAATTCTGATCAGTTGCATCATCTATTTTACAATTTTTAATTTAACATTTTTCTGCTTGCAAAATTGGATACTTAGTGTAGGTTTAGTATGCAATATATTAAGCATTTTAATTGATATCAAGATAGTTTGCACATAAATTAATATCTGATCCAAAAGAATAAGCTAATTTATCATCAATAGAAAAAGAAATTGAAAAAACATTTTCATTCTCTCTCTAAATAGTTTAAATTAGAATTAATTCTTCGGTTTTCCATATTTTGATACATTTATCATTATATCCTGTCGCTAAGATTTTACCATCTTAGGAGAATGCCATAGTAATAATTTCACAATTATATTATTCTGTGTGAATTTCTTACTCATAATATGCGTCAGTTACCCAAATATAAATTATTCCTTCACTATCCCCAGAAGCAAGGTACTATCCATCTGGTGTAAATATAACAACTTTAACTTTATTTTTGTGAACTTCTTTGAATTCTACAAATTCATACAATTAGTGTTGATCTTTCTTCCATATAGATATTTTACAATCATTGCTTCCTAAAACTAAAAAACTTCCATCAAACTTTGAGGAAATCGAATTTACTTTTTAATCATGTTTTTTTTCTAATTTTTATGGTTGATCTTAACCATTATTATTCCAAATTAGAATGTTTCCATCATCTAAACCATAGACTACTTGTTAACTTTCTTCAATTATATCGATTGCTGTTATAACTTTATCCGTTATCTAAAATCTTAATTCCTCTCTTTAAATAATATTCCAAATTAAAATTTTTTTTTATTGTCTAATTAAGAGAAGTTATTTTTCTGGATAGTTAGGAAAATACATTACTTGCAAAGCAGATTAATTAATTTACTCTATTTTTTTATTTTTCTGAATATCCCATACTAATATTTTATCTTCACTAGAAGAAACAAGATTTAATCCATCTGGAGAAAAACATAAACTGTTTATATTTTCAGAATGTCCAAATTATGCTAACTATCCATCCGCAAATTTATTTTCATCTTCATTTATCATCTACCATATAATGATATCTCCATTATTTTAACCTGTTATTAAATTATTCTCTTAATTAATCAATGCACATGTTAAATCAACTTTCTTAGTAATAGGTGATGGCTTTATTTTTTCACTCTATAGATCCCATATTTAAATTTGCTAATCTTCTCCAATTCCCAAAAACTTTTCATCATTAGGTGAAGTTACAATTTAAATAACATCGCTTTTAATTCCTTTAAATTATTTCTAAGAATTTTGAAAGGATAATACCCCAATTTATTCTTAGCTTTCTTCATTATATATTTTATAAATTAATAATGAACCATCAGAAGAAGAATTTATCATTGAAATTTATCCAGAATGACCTGCAAATTGATCGATTATTGTTTTCTCATCTTTATCCCATAATATTAATGTTTTATCATCGCATCCAAAAGCTAATAGATTTTTTGTTGGAATAAATGATAAAGAAGTGACTATTTTTTGGGTATCAAACTAATGAAATAATGACCATAACCTATCAGTAATTGTAAATAGATAAATCATTTAATTTTTATCAGCAGAAGCTAGAAATTGCTCATCTAAAGATAATGCAAGAAAATTAATTCCTTTTGAGGGATTTCTTTCATCACTATAATTTTCAAGTATGTCATAATTTGTAAAATTAGATTGATAATACTTATATATCTAGATAGCTTCATCATTCCCTCCACAAATAATATAACTTTGACCAAATTCTATTTCTTGAACATCTCCATCACAGTTTATTGTAAGTACATCTTAATTTTCATTTTACTAAATATAATAGATATTTTTATTTTATGTCCAAAATATTAAATTATTATCTATAAGTGCTAATTTCTTAATTGGACTGTTTAATATACTATCTAAGTTTAAATCTATTAATTTATTTAGAGTAAAATCATTATAACAGTTCCATAATTTTATTTCTATTTCAGAGGCAGAAATTAAAAGTTTTTAATCTTTAGAAAAAGCCAAAGCCTCAACAGATCCTTTTTAAATAAGTTCATTTTCGTTTAGATTTTCTTACCAAAAGATTATCACATTTTAACTCCCAGCAATTATTATAGTTTTTTTGTTTGTGGATAGTTATTCAGATTATAAAAAAATAGCTAGAGAGAAAATTTTTTTTGATTTTTAAATTTCCAACTCTCTTCTACAAGATTCTTGTCTCAATACCCAAACTCCTACACAAACTTCATCTTATTATTCTTATTAGTACTTGTATCCTGCTATCAAATTTTATCCATCAGCTGAAATTCCAATTGATCTCAATTCAAAACTTTGATTAAGAAAAATTTAAATGATTTATGGAAACTCTATATTAATATTCCAAATCCTAATACAATTATCGAGACATCTAGATGCTAATTATTTTGAATTTGGAAAAATAACTAATTACATTACTTTTGTTTTATGTTTAAGAGGTTGCTTGATTCTTTACATTTTGTCATAATTCCATAATAATATTGTCTAATCACTGCTTCCAGATGCAAGCAATTTTTCATTTTTGTCTTACAAAAAGTTTATGGAATTTACCTCATCTGTGTGTTCTTCCAATAGTTTAATAATTTCCAAAGTTATACTATTCCATAGAGTAATAGTGTTTTTTTTTCCTGTTGATGCTAATAATTATCCATCAGGACTGATTATTAAACAATTAATTTGATCGTTGTGTTATTTGATATGCTATTTTTTTCTTTAAGCGTAATCCCAACAAATTATCTCTCCTTATATACTTCCTGAATACAATCTTTTTCCATCCAAACTCATAGTCAAAGCAGTCACTTTCTATTTATGTTCGGAAAGTGTTCTTTATTCTTTACAAATAATTTTCCAAATAACATCTTCAATCTTTGCCAAATTAAAATTGCATCCATCAATTTCTACATTTTCAAAAATACTTCTAGATAAATTGCTATTAAAAAAACTTAAACCATTTATTTTAGTGTCTGAAATTTTTAGATTTTAGAGACTTTAACCTCCTAAAAATGCTTTAAATTATGATAATAGAAATAAAGAATTTGACGCTGATCGAACAAGAAAATCTTCTTTTTAAGAAAGCTTTAAAATTTCTATTAACTAATTCACAAATACTTACTCCCTTCCTTTAAAATAATTAATTATAAATTCAGAAATCTTTTAAAAATTAGCTTTCGAAATATTAAATTTATCATTATTATATATAGATTTTTAAATCTCTTCATTTGTATACTTTTTATTTTCAAAAAAATCCTAAAATAAATTAATCACATATTTTGCTGCAAAAAATTCTTGAATTGATTTATGTGTAAAAGAATAAACATTTCCCTTACAAGTTAATAATATGCAGCTTCTTATCAAATTCTTATACTCTTGCTCTTTTTCCGTTCCATCAAAATATTAATCAAGCCAATTTTTTTCTGGTTTTTTGATTTCTTAAAGTTTTTCTAATTTTAAAAGCCCAGAAATTTGGTGAGTAAAATAAGTTTAATCATTAAGAGTCATTTCAAGTGCCAAAGATTCGGCATAAACCCAGAGATCTATCCTTAGAGCCTCAAAATTTGATACATTACCTAAACGTTATTGCTTTATCATTTATTGCGCATGATAAAAGTTGATAAAGTTTTCGTAAAATTCATATGTTGTAAATATTTTCTATCTATATGAACTAATTATAGCATTTTTATCATCTGCTTCTAAACCAGGATAAGTATTAATTTAATTTAAATTATTTAATATTGAAAAATTTTGGAAAAACTTGATCTCTTCCATAATTTTTAATAATTTATTATATTACTAATCTGGCTCATCATTATAATTATTTATATATCTTTGCTACTAATTCCTAATCTTTGATTTATATTTTTCAATAATTAATTTTGAGTTTTTTTCACTTTCTTTAATTGCTAAATAATTTTTTTTAAATAGCTCTTTTATTTAAGCCACTTCAGAATAAATTTTGGCAAAATTAGGCAAAACCTACACTACAATTTCCATCATATATGGGGTTTATAAGATATTACTTATATTTAAATTATCAATAGAATCTTAATACTTTTCCTAGCTCCACAATTCAAGAAGTTCTTTTTCTAATTTTATTATTTGTTCATCCCTTAAGTTTTTAAAATAAGGAAGTAATTTTATATTATCAAGTATGTTTTTAACTTTATGACCATTTAGCAAGATTTATTTTTTGTCAACTTCAATATTATCAATTGATTATTTCTTTATAAAAGGGCTAATTTTTGATTAAATTAATTTCACATCTTCTGGGTCAACTTTTTTACCCTCAATTTACTATACATATTCATATAAACCATATATTTTATTTTTAACACTTAGATGACTATATTTGTCAAGATATTCTTTAATTTCCTTCTCTGAAAACTATTAAAGTTCAATGTCAATGAAAGCTTTAATATCTGATCCAACAAACCAACTAGCGAAGTTTTTATCTTATAATAATTCTGATCTTGTTGTGATGATAATTTTAAGATTCTTATTATCTTCAGGTTTAATGTTGAACTATTAAGCTAAATCATTAGTTTAATAAAGATTTTTGCTTTTTATATCATTTTTTAATTCATCGTAACTATCAAGAATCAATACTACACGTTCTCTATTATTGGATATTGCATCTTTTAACTCTCTTATTTAGATTCTATCAAAATGATAATAATCTGATTCCATTGCTTCGTTAAACAGATTTTTAATTGGATCTTTGAGGGATGGCAATGAAATAAATATTGGAATCCAATCCTATTGATTTCTTTAATGTCTTTTCCAAATAAATTCTTCTATTTTTTTTGCTGCTCTACTTTTTCCAGATCCAGCTTAACCTCTAATTAGCATTACATCACTTTTTTTATCAAAATCTAAAAATAAATTCACATCAGCTTATTTTACTTCATTCCCATTTTCGTCATCTTCTTCTTATAGTAAAAAATGAATTTTCGCATCATATTTGTCTTAATGATATTTGTTATTATTTGAACTATAAGTTCTTCTATTTGTTTTTAGTTTTATGTATATTGAATTCATATTTGCGATTGATTATTCATGTAAGACTTTATTTCTTCTCATTATTAATAATTCTTTATANTTTTTTTAAATAGCTCTTTTATTTAAGCCACTTCAGAATAAATTTTGGCAAAATTAGGCAAAACCTACACTACAATTTCCATCATATATGGGGTTTATAAGATATTACTTATATTTAAATTATCAATAGAATCTTAATACTTTTCCTAGCTCCACAATTCAAGAAGTTCTTTTTCTAATTTTATTATTTGTTCATCCCTTAAGTTTTTAAAATAAGGAAGTAATTTTATATTATCAAGTATGTTTTTAACTTTATGACCATTTAGCAAGATTTATTTTTTGTCAACTTCAATATTATCAATTGATTATTTCTTTATAAAAGGGCTAATTTTTGATTAAATTAATTTCACATCTTCTGGGTCAACTTTTTTACCCTCAATTTACTATACATATTCATATAAACCATATATTTTATTTTTAACACTTAGATGACTATATTTGTCAAGATATTCTTTAATTTCCTTCTCTGAAAACTATTAAAGTTCAATGTCAATGAAAGCTTTAATATCTGATCCAACAAACCAACTAGCGAAGTTTTTATCTTATAATAATTCTGATCTTGTTGTGATGATAATTTTAAGATTCTTATTATCTTCAGGTTTAATGTTGAACTATTAAGCTAAATCATTAGTTTAATAAAGATTTTTGCTTTTTATATCATTTTTTAATTCATCGTAACTATCAAGAATCAATACTACACGTTCTCTATTATTGGATATTGCATCTTTTAACTCTCTTATTTAGATTCTATCAAAATGATAATAATCTGATTCCATTGCTTCGTTAAACAGATTTTTAATTGGATCTTTGAGGGATGGCAATGAAATAAATATTGGAATCCAATCCTATTGATTTCTTTAATGTCTTTTCCAAATAAATTCTTCTATTTTTTTTGCTGCTCTACTTTTTCCAGATCCAGCTTAACCTCTAATTAGCATTACATCACTTTTTTTATCAAAATCTAAAAATAAATTCACATCAGCTTATTTTACTTCATTCCCATTTTCGTCATCTTCTTCTTATAGTAAAAAATGAATTTTCGCATCATATTTGTCTTAATGATATTTGTTATTATTTGAACTATAAGTTCTTCTATTTGTTTTTAGTTTTATGTATATTGAATTCATATTTGCGATTGATTATTCATGTAAGACTTTATTTCTTCTCATTATTAATAATTCTTTATACGACTTACCTCTTAGCTGTCTAACATCTGTTAATATATTATCAACACCTGTTTATATTTTATCAATTTTTCTTTAGAGATTCTATAAATCCTTATGAATTTCTGTCAAAAAGACAAAACTTAAATTTACTTGTTATGTCATTTCATTTATATTATTTAAATTTTCCTGAAATTCACTGTATTTTTCTTATAGTTTTAATGTCAATTCAATTTTATCACTTTATAGACCTTCTTATCTAATTTCTGATTCTAATTTTTTCAATTCATATAATTTTGCTTTAAATTCTTATTAGACTTTTTAGGTAAAAGTGTGTAATTCATGTGAATATAGTTTTTTCTATTCTTCTATCATTTCTTTATCTTTAAAGATATTACGAACATTCTCATTTTTTTCTACCATCCATAATTATTGAATTATTAATTAACAAAATTGAATTACTTGTGGTTCTTTTATTATATTTTGAATTTTCATAACACTGAAAAATAAACATTCCCTAACTCTGTAATCAGAACTGCGATCTCTTGCATTTTTTTGTGGATTTCTAAACTCCAAATCAGAATATTTAAAATTTAATGAAATAGCAACTGTTTGAAAAAAGTTAGCTACTTGTCTAAATTAATATTCTAATGAAGAATTATCATTCTGGTTTAGTTCGTAGCATTCTAATTTTGTTATATTATCAATAAATTCTGCTTGAAAATTTTTTACTGTTTTCTTCATATATTCTTGAAATATAAGTTCATCATCATTGTTATCCTTGACATTTAAATAATCATAAAAATTTTATAAATTTTCAATGTGATTTTTTATTCCATCCATAAACTAATTCATCAATGTTTCATTCTTAGTAAAATTAATAATATATTTTTATAAATTTTACCTTCCATCTATAGTAGTTTTAGATCTCAATATTAAGGACATTTGAGTTTAATTCTATTAGATGGATTTTTCGTACATCTGTATGATATCATCTAATTTCTTGATATCAGCTTAAGATTTTATTTGAGAAAGGATAATTTAAATTTTGGAGGCAGTTAAAAAATAAATTTTATTCTAATTGTGATTCAGATTATTTTTTTTAATTTTTTCCTTATTTTTTTAAATTAAAGTCTTGAGCTCATCTTTTTTGGATTAATCAAGAAATTCTCGAGAAGATAGTTTTAATGATTTAATTTCCTCTAATTCCTATCTGAAATAACTTTATATCATTTATATCTACTCGATAATTTACTGTTACTTCTTCTAATCTATCAATTATAACAAAGTATTTTCATCATCATTCATAGTTTGTATCCATTTATTCATTTTTGAATATTTTTTTTAGATTTACTAGATTACGTTTTATAATAATTAAAGCAGTTTAACTTATTATGACAATATTTCTTTTTAATTTTCTGTAACAATCAGTTTGTTGTGTTATTCACAAATAATAGTTATAAATTATTGATAAATCTGAAAATTAAATATTTCTTTCAACATTGTAGGAAATTCGCTTATATTTTTAATAAGTGTAGTTACACTTTCCTGTTGATCCTATTTTTAAATCAGTTCTTTTTCATAATTCACAAGCACTGCAATATGTTTCTTTAAATTCTATATGAATTTCGTATAATATTGGTTAGCATCTTGAATTTCCTTTTTCAAAGTTTCTGTTGTTGTTGAATTTCTCATGATTATTTCACATTAAAGTCTACAAAAATTTTAGCTTTAAGTTTAATTAAATAATTAATTTAATTCTTATTATTCATTCTTATTCTGAATAGGAACAACTTAGATTATTTTACTCGCCAAATATATCTACTTTTGATAAAGTCTTATTTGGATAAATATTTCTTAAATTATTATGGTAATTTTAAATAGATTTTAATTTATTAGCTCCAATGGTTTTTTCTCGTAATCATTATTTTCCCACAAGATTTTGGTGACTAAATCTTTATTTTGGTCATTCAAATAATTTAAATAATTCATATTACTCTTTAAAAAATCAAGATTAGGATTTTCAAAAAGAAGAAAATTTACTAAATCTCTATCATCACATTCTTTTTCATCCTATTACAAAGTTAGTTTTACATAATCTAAAAGTGTCTTAAATGTTTATTACTCTTAATTTAAACCATATTCTAACATCAAAAATTATTAGAACTATTCTATTTTTCTAAAATTTATATAAATATCCTTAAATTCTTACTTATTAAAGATAACCGTCCCAAAATTTTAATCATAAGAAGAAACTCTAATGAATTCAGAATTTCTTTCAATTTTCCATTATTAGTTTTATTTTTCTTCTTAAAAATCTTTAAACAAATCTTTTTTATGAACTAAAGGTCTGTATGAAATTAAATCAGAAAGCATTTTCACCCAACAAAAATGTGGCATCCAATTTTTCGAATTAAGTATATAATCTTCATATGCTTTAGATAATTTTATTTGTAATAAAATAGTATTTGTATTTCCTTCTTGTAATGATTCTATGATATTCCATTTTAATTATTCAAAAAAAAAATAAAACTCATATTACTTTTCAGCAATTTTAGCTTATGCTTAATTAAATAAATATTTTCCTGCCTGAAATATTTGATCTAAAAAACCTTCAGTTATGTTTTAAGTAAAAATAGAGAAAACCAATCATTTTATTAAATTTTATACAATTTCTTAGCCGTCTCTAGTTTATAAATTTTCAAGAGCTAATTTAGCCACTTAAAGCTCAAATTTTATTCCTGTTTCCCAAATTTATATAAGGCTGCCTTAAATTTAACTTTCTGCTGATATAATTTAATGCAGAAGTTTATCTTAAAGATTGCTTTCAACTTCAAATTTACTTTTTCTAATAAAAAGAAATCTTAGAAGATCATTAAGAATTTGCAATACTTCATGACATAAAAAACATGAAGCTTTCACAAATGTAGGAATAGTTTAGATGATTTTTTCTATAGAAACTATTATTTTTTCTTAATATTATATTGCCTTACATTCATCTTTAACTAATTAATTGATATAATATTTATTGTAAATAAACCATTAAATAGCAATTAATAATTCTTCCCTATTGTCATTATCCAATAATTATTTAGAATTTTAATTTATTGATTCAGAGTATTTTTCTAAATTAGATGCAAAATTTTAAGGGAGTTATAATTTTCTTTAACTTTATTTTTCTGAGTTGTGTATTTAGGATTTGCTTCCCCATATACATCCCCCACCCCCTCGAAGATTCCAACACAAAGAATTTCTATTTTTATAATACTTATATACCCTGATTCTAGTTTTTTCATTACAAGTGTTTAATTTTGTTAAGCCTATTCTTTTATTTCACGTAATATTTAGCAGAAGTTTTCTAAAAATATTTGTTGGTCAAGTTGGAATAATTTAAGCATAGGTTTATATTTTTATTAAATTTACTATTGATTGAAAGAATTAAGAATTAGAAATTTAAATTCAATTATTATGCTCCTTATTATTATGAGTAATAGATAAAATATTAGTTAATATCCGATTAAAAAAATTAAAATAAATATTGATATATTATTCTAAAGTAAGTCTTAAAAAATAACTTACCTAAAAAATTTCCAATTATCTAGTAAACTCTAAGAGCTTCTATTTTTCTGAGGATCTAAGAATTCATTACTTAATAAAAATAAATTTATAGTAGAATTAAGAAAAAAAATGTATAAATTATTATATAGATTTATTATTTCCAGGTAATTTATTAGATGCTATTTACTAGTTAAATATAAATTATTCAATTAAATCAACTTTGGTTATTCTTTCAAAATTAGATTATCCTTGTTAATATAATTTTATAGAAATATTTCAGAAGATTATATTTAGTTAAATTCAAAGACATAATATTAAAATTTTAACATCATCTTTTTAATTTGATTAAGACTTTTTTTATACAAAAATTTTCATAGGAATCTAAGTTTTCAGAAATTAATGTAAATTTCTTAATCTTATCCAGGTTTATAAGTCTTTTTTTGGTGAAATTCTTTTAGAATTATTTGTTATTTAAAATATTTGATTTAATAGAAATAATTAAGAAAGAAATATCATACTTTTATTTGATATATATTATGTAAAAATATTACGAATATATAATTTAATATAATTTAGATAAATTTGTTTTCAAAAACAAATAATACATATTTGTAATAATTTAGTTTGAAAATGTACCTCATATTCATGAGTAACTTTTTCGTTTTATCTTGTTTATTCTGCTCTTTTAAATTTACCCCCCCGATTCTCTATCTTATTATTGATGATTTTGAATAATTAATCACCTTTTTTAGTAAAGCAGCTAAGTTTGTTTTTTGTAGTTCATTTTATCTAACCTAAGCGTTATAATTCAATACTGCTAATTCAATTTTAGGTATTTTCAATTATTCATCAATTTTAAGGGAATCAAAACAGGTTTTCTATTTTGTCTCATCAGTATTCGATTGGATTTATAAATTTATTAGATTCATTTTTTTGGCTCATTTTTCAAATACTTAGGGGTTTTGGGAAGATTAAGATAAATAAGTAGCTATTACAATTTGCATCGGTGTAGTTGCGTTCTCTCAGAATTTATGATAAGTAACCCCAATATACTAACCACAATCTAAGACCTGAATTAATTGACAGGTTTATTCTTAAATATTTGAATCTTATACTATTTGCACTAACCTCTCCATAATTTCTAATATCATAAGATATGTTTTATAAGAAATAAAATTATAATCTTCTGTAGCTGTTGAGCATTTGGATTATTTAATTCTTTCGATAATTTAGTTTTTGGGGCTCTTCTAAATAATTGTAGATTTATTTGTTTTTCTTTGGGTTTAATTTACACTATTTATGATTTATTTAGTCAAGTCATTAAGATTGATTATTTTTAAATGATCAAAGCAAGCTTTAAATCAAGTTTTCTTAACTCTCATTTGATTGCTAATTCAACATTTATTTATTTTAAATAAATGACAAAAGCCCTAGTAAATTATTTTCGTTCTAATCAATATTTATATTTTTATTTAGATTTAAATAGATATTTTTTATTATACTTTAACATTTAAGCACTTTGAAATAACTTAAAAAAGTTATAATTTTATTCAATTAAATTTAGTTATCTTTAATATGATGACAACTAATTTTGAAGAAGAGAATAGATTGGCAGCCTCAAAACATTTTTTGAAAAGCTAAGTATTTTTTTGTATAAAATATTTTAAGAATTTAAAAAAAATGTGTAGAATCAAAGAAGCTTTGAAGGAGGTTAACAACGCCTTAGATATTAACCCCGAATTTGCTGAAGCATACACTTTGAGAGGTTGAATACAATTAATTATATTCTTAGGAGAATTATTTAACAGATTAGAATTGTATGATAAAGGTTTAGAAGATCTAAACAAGAGTATATAATTAGATGACAAATTAATAGAGNCATATTTGTAATAATTTAGTTTGAAAATGTACCTCATATTCATGAGTAACTTTTTCGTTTTATCTTGTTTATTCTGCTCTTTTAAATTTACCCCCCCGATTCTCTATCTTATTATTGATGATTTTGAATAATTAATCACCTTTTTTAGTAAAGCAGCTAAGTTTGTTTTTTGTAGTTCATTTTATCTAACCTAAGCGTTATAATTCAATACTGCTAATTCAATTTTAGGTATTTTCAATTATTCATCAATTTTAAGGGAATCAAAACAGGTTTTCTATTTTGTCTCATCAGTATTCGATTGGATTTATAAATTTATTAGATTCATTTTTTTGGCTCATTTTTCAAATACTTAGGGGTTTTGGGAAGATTAAGATAAATAAGTAGCTATTACAATTTGCATCGGTGTAGTTGCGTTCTCTCAGAATTTATGATAAGTAACCCCAATATACTAACCACAATCTAAGACCTGAATTAATTGACAGGTTTATTCTTAAATATTTGAATCTTATACTATTTGCACTAACCTCTCCATAATTTCTAATATCATAAGATATGTTTTATAAGAAATAAAATTATAATCTTCTGTAGCTGTTGAGCATTTGGATTATTTAATTCTTTCGATAATTTAGTTTTTGGGGCTCTTCTAAATAATTGTAGATTTATTTGTTTTTCTTTGGGTTTAATTTACACTATTTATGATTTATTTAGTCAAGTCATTAAGATTGATTATTTTTAAATGATCAAAGCAAGCTTTAAATCAAGTTTTCTTAACTCTCATTTGATTGCTAATTCAACATTTATTTATTTTAAATAAATGACAAAAGCCCTAGTAAATTATTTTCGTTCTAATCAATATTTATATTTTTATTTAGATTTAAATAGATATTTTTTATTATACTTTAACATTTAAGCACTTTGAAATAACTTAAAAAAGTTATAATTTTATTCAATTAAATTTAGTTATCTTTAATATGATGACAACTAATTTTGAAGAAGAGAATAGATTGGCAGCCTCAAAACATTTTTTGAAAAGCTAAGTATTTTTTTGTATAAAATATTTTAAGAATTTAAAAAAAATGTGTAGAATCAAAGAAGCTTTGAAGGAGGTTAACAACGCCTTAGATATTAACCCCGAATTTGCTGAAGCATACACTTTGAGAGGTTGAATACAATTAATTATATTCTTAGGAGAATTATTTAACAGATTAGAATTGTATGATAAAGGTTTAGAAGATCTAAACAAGAGTATATAATTAGATGACAAATTAATAGAGAGTTTCTATTAAAGAGGTAAATGTATTAATCAAGTTAATAGCAACAATATTTTGGAGATAAAATTTATATATGAAAGCTATGCAAGACTGTAAGAAATGTCTAGAAATAAATTCAAATTTTGCAAAGGCATATTGTAGAATTGGTATTAAAAATTTTAATTTAGGAACCCTTTGGGAGATTTAGGGGAGAGAAGAATAAGCTCTTTAGTAATATGAACTAGCAATAAAAGTAGAGAGTGATTGTTTGTTGGCCTACTATTATAGAGGTTAATTAAGTCGAATGATCTTAGGTTATTTATACAGTAATATTGGTGAAAATGAGCAAGCATTAAATGATTATAATAAAATAATACAACTTGATCCTGCAAATGCAATTGGCTACTTCAGTAGAGGTAAATAATTGAAACTAATATCAGGTATGTTAAACAATAAAATTGGCGAAAAATAAAATGCATTAAACGATTATACTCGAGCAATACAACTTGATCCTAGCTATGCAATGGCCTACAACAATCGAGGTGAATTATTTAATTTAAATTAGGTAATTTATACAATACAATTGGCCAAAAAGAGGAAGCACTAAAAGATTACAATTTAGCAATCCAAATTGATCCTCACTATATTATGGGCTACTTAAATCGAGGTTAATTATTTGAATTAATATTAGGCATTTTATACAAAGATATTGGGAAAAAAGATGAAGCTTTAAATGATTACAATAAAGCAATTCAACTTGATCCTAAAAATGCACAGGCCTATTAGAGTAGAGGTCAGTTATTAAAATTTATATTAGGCATTTTATACAAAGATATTGGTTTAAAGGATAAAGCATTAGACGATTATAATCAAGCGATTCATCTTGAGCCTAAAAATGCACAA